CAGTTCCAGCAATAGCAACAAGGGTGACCAGATTGGGTTCTTATAAGGTTTTATTTTTTTATTTTTTTTGTAAGGTTTTACTATGCAAGCCATGTAATGGTTCTAATTTTACAAATATTTTATAGAGGTAAAGTGGCACAAACTTGTATTTAGAATATTTATATTTAATGGAAATGTTACTTTAATTTTTGTTTTGTTCTATTTTTTGTTTGACTTATTTTTTCTAGTTTTCTGAGTTGCTTAACATTTTAAAATTATGATTTTATTGTGATTTTTTTTTACTATAGTAAAATGTGAAGGTAAGTCAAAAAAAATATTATTGGGCTTCTAGTTCTTACATGTTTTATCCCAAACCAAATGTGTTTAAACACAAGATCAGTGGATGACTGCAGACAAGTTTTCTCAGTAGTACACTTGTCTTAGTTTCTTTATTTACATTGCCTTTTTTAAAAGATATTTTTTGTGCTATGGAAAAAATTATTTTAGGGACAAGGCTTATATCCAGTTTTTAACAGCAGTCTGAAGCCACCAGGTGTTCTGCAGGAGAAAGATGAGACTTTCTGCTCTTACAAAGATTTACCATCTCAGAAAACCAAACAGGCATTTTTCCTCTGCCCTACAGGGTCATTATGAGTTGTAATCAACTCACTAACAATGAGCTTGAGTTTTACCCTCTTAAAGGTACAGTGTTTTTTATCAATGCTCTCCAGACTTTTCCTTTAGTATTCAGTAATTTACTTATAATGTACTTTGGTGTGGATTTACTTGGATTTATCTCTCGAGTGCTCTAACCTTGAATCTTTATGCTAAGTCACTTGCTAAACCTGGGCAGTTTTCTTTTTCTTTAATTAATTTTTTAGGCTTGCTGCCTTTCTTCATTCCTGAACCAGCTAATAATTCTTTTGTTGTAGTCCCACATGTCTCTGAGCTTATTCATTTTCTTTTTCTCTCTGTTCAGATTTGGTAGTTGCTATTGTTCTGTCTTCAAATTCACTGATTTTCTTTTTCCTGTCCATTCTGCTATTAGACAAATCTAATGAGTTTATTACTACATTTTTGCTTAGAAATTTCCATTTGATTTTTCTGTTTTCTTTTGCTGAACCTTATGTTCATGTGTTTCAAGCATGTTCTTAATGATTCATTTAAACATTTTTATGATGACCGATTTAAGGTATTTGTCAGCTCATTATTCTAACCGGACTTGGTTTTCTCTCTTCTCATTGAATCTGATATTTTACTGGTTCTTATTGCTGTTATAAGTGATTAATTTTTTTAATTGACCCCAAGACATCATACGACATTTTATTTAAATCTTCTTGATAGCAGATCTTTTGTTGGCTCGTTGCCTAGAGAGAACAGGGTTTTGCTGTTCTTGTCTTAGTTTCCTGTTTCGCTAGGCTGACTTGTTGTTGGTTCTTTGGTTAAGAATAGTATGTTTTATTGGAACTTTAAAAACCTGTATTAATTGGAGTTCCAGGTTGCTGGCATCTTCAGCTTCAAGTTTGGGACATAAGAGGCCAAAAGAAAACCAAAGGAGTTTACTGCTGTGTAATTTCGTGGGTCCCATGGCCCCTACTCCTATTTCTCTCTACTTTCAGAGTCATTTTGTGGTTGTTATACATATAGATTGTCCAGGACTTTTAGTATGTTGAGAAAGACTAAGGACACATCTTTTCCATGTTCTGAGAAAAGGTCTCTAGATTTAATTTTTCAAGTCACTGAAGAACTCAAGGAGTGACCATCAATTTTGAGATTCATTAAAACAATCCCCTTGGTAAATTCAGGGTAATTCAAGTGATGGACATTTAGTAAGGACCAGAGTATTAGAGTTGTTTGGGATCTCTACAATCTCAATCTTTGTTTAATACTCCTAATATACATGGTTTTACCAGATTTCAGATTTCAAGAAGTACAGGATTCTCATCTGGGGATATTCTTGACCTTTTGAGAATAATTTAAAAAATGTTTTTAGTGTAGTTAACAGAATTTTCAAATACAGAGAGTGTCTACTGGATTTCAAGAACTTGGTTGATGGGGAAGGCAGTATTAATAAGAGAGACTGTCAAAAAGTGATGTTGGCAGGGTAAGACATTGGGAGGAATGTCAGAGTTAAATTGGCAATGGTGAATGATGTTATATACATATATATAAAGAAAGGCATTGTTCTATACCTTAATTTGGTGAGTGGCTATCTGGGGTACAACTATTGTTTTTACCCTGTCCTGGGGAAGGGAGAGTAATGAAAATCAAATCTAGTGGGCTAAATAGCTCACGGGAATAATCCTTAGATCAGAAGAGCAAGGCGCTACCCAACTATTACATAACTACCAGCTGCTCTGAAAGGGCTCGTATTTGAAGCTCTTAGATAGAGTGAGACAAAAATATGGAACAAAACTCATCCATGAAAGAAACTAGCCTTGCTGGTCAGATAGAGACTGGTGGAATCCCCAAGAATGGCCCTTGGTCACTTATTTGAATCTGAAATTGAATTCTGCCCCTGTTGCTCAAATTTTAGCCAAATAATTGACAGATCTATGAGGAGAGAAGTAGTACCATTGGAGTGGGCACACCTTAGAATAATGGGCCTTAGGAATTGAGAGAGGAGCGTTTCCCCAAGGTAGAACATCAGAAGGGTTAGGAAAGGAGGAGGGATGATAGGAAACACAGGCAGAGGTTGGGTGGGAGATGTTACATTGAGAGGATTATAATCCTCTGAATTACGATATGAAACAAGTTTATAATACCAAAGAAAGGACTTTGCTTTTTTTCTTTAAATCCGTAAGAATTGCGTTTCCAGACAAGGAGAAACAGTATTCTAGTAAGTGTTAAGTAACTGGATTTGGTGGAGGGAGGTGAAATGTGTGTTTGCTGATTCGGTCTATAAGGTGGACTTAGGAGGTACAGTATATGGTGTTTTAGGAAGAAAGCTGTCAATAGCCAGATGATGGGCGTAGCTGTTCTACTTTTACCACTTGCTACTGGTTTCTTGGTGTGTTTCTTTTTCACTCCTGCATCCCCCTCATTTCTGTCACGCTGGGCAGTCCTAGGCTGTTGTCATCTAATGCCTAACTAGATTGCTCTTTCGTAGACATCCCTCCTGCTCCGCTTTAACTCCCTATTTCCCTATTCTCACATGCTTTCAGATTAATTTGCTTCAGATTAATTTGCTTCAAGCCTTTTGTGGCTCTTTCCACCTCCAATATGGGTTTGAGTCTTTGGTGCCTTGACATAAATGTCTCTGTAAATTATGACTCGTTGTGCATTTGCTTGCATAATTTGAATTGTATTCTGGTTTACCTGTGACACCAAGGATATTCTCAGCTTTCATTATTTCTAAAATGTGTCTTTCTGGTTGTAAAATGTTACTGTAAAATGTATGTGTGTGTATTTTCACCTACATCAGTTATGTTTTATGATGTGACTTTTTCCTCCATTTCTTCCTCCAGGAAGTTCCTTCTATTTCCCATAGAATGTAGGTTGTTATATGACTGACCTGTGTTTTGCAAAGACATATCTCATCCGGCTTGTCCCACCTATAATAATCCTGCAGGGTTTTATGGACTCCATGAATCCGACCTTGACAAAGTCTTCCACTTGCCCACTACAACCTTCATTGGGGGAAATGAATCTGCTCTGCCACTTCGGGAAATCATTCGCCGGCTGGAGGTAAGAAAATACATTTCACAGTCTCTCAAAATGAAATATGCTTGCCAAGAACTTGTGTTAGCAATATTAAACCAAGAGTAATTACTTTTCTTTGTTTTATATTTTTTGAAATCTTAAAGGAAAGGGGGCTTTCCGCCCCCCTAATTTTTAGGCTGCAGATAGAAGTCCGTGTTTCTACAATCACTCAGAGAAAGGAATGGGGAGGAGGACTTGTTTTCAGATGCACCCCCAAAACCAACTTGCTACCATCGAGTAGATTCTGCCTCATAGCGACCCTGTAGGTGGTATAGCACTCCCCTTGAGGGCTTCTTAGCCTGTGGACTTTGTATAGGAGTAGAAAGCCTTGGCTTTACTCCCAAGGAGCTGCAGAGCAACTAGTGGTTTTACACTGACCTTTTGGTTAGGAACCCAACTCATAATTACTACAACAGGACTCAGTTATGTGATTTCTTGAAGAGTAATATTCCTTGAAGAAGAATATTTCTTGAGCTAAGGATACTTTGCTCCAGGCATATACTGTTTCTCCAGACTATTAGTGGTCTGTTTGCTCTTGCATTTTCTCTCTCCTTCTCCACTTGTCCTCCTACTTTGTCTGTTTTTCTTTTGTTTTGTAGCCTTTGTTAACATAAGCAGGCAGAAGACACGGTGGTATATTGGTAAGGAATGTTGACTCTAGAGTTAGGCTGTCTGAGTTCAAGCTCTTACTCACCTTGGACAAATTCCTTACCTTTTCTGAGCATCCGGTTTTTCATCTACACAAGAAAAGTTAACAAAGGGATCACTGGTTTTCTTTCCAGAATGCTACAGCCTAGGCTATATAGTAGAACCACTAAATCAGAAGGTACATAACCACTACACCACCTTATGAATATAGGAGTTAAAATTTTCAACAAAATTTTAGGTAATAGAATTAAAACATTAAAAAACAAAACCACCATTTTCAAGTGGGATTTAAACTTGATATTGCAATAATTGTTCACTATTAGAAAAACTGAGTGTGACCTACCATATAAATAAAAGAATATTATGTGATTATATCAGTTTGTCTAGAAAAGACATTCAGTGAAACTCAAATTTTTTTCTTGACAAAAATAATATAGCAATAGAAGAGCAGTTCGTCAGCATAATAAAGGCCATATATTCAAAACCAACAGAGAAACTGAAAGCATTCTACTATCTTATTTATTATAGTGCTGGAAATCTTAACCGGAACTATTAGACAAAAAAGAGAAATCAAAGACATCCAAGTTGACAAAGAAGAAGCAAAGTTCTATTTGCAGGAAGTATGATCATATAAATATATAGAAAACCCCAAAGAATCAATTTAAAATTTGCTGAAACAAATAGAAAAATTTGGCAACATAAAAGGCTATAAGTTTAACATACAAAGCTCAGTAGGATTTTTATATATTGAGGAAGAGGACACAGAAAAGGAGATTAAGAAAACAATACCAATTATAATAACCACCCAAAAGATAAAATACTTAGGAATAAGCCTAATGAAAAAAACAATAGAAGCATACAGAGAAAACTAAAAAATACTTCTATGAGCCTATAAAAAACCTGAAGAGACTTTAACATAAGTGGAAGAATGCCCCATGATCATAGACAGGAAGACTTAATATAATGAATATGTCAGTATTAACTGAAAACACTATAAATTTAAAACAATTCTGATCCATATACCAACACAATTCTTCAAAGAAATGGAAAAATTATTCAGCAATTTCACATGGTAAGAAACCCAAGATAAATAAAAACTAGTAATAGAGACAAAGTTAGAGGCCTCTCCCTTCTAACACAGCCACAGTAATAAAACTGCTTGGCATTGGTACTAGTTTTGTAGACCAATGGATTAGAACAGAGAACCCAGAAATAACCAACCACTTACAGAACTCTCATTAAATGAGGAGGAAGACATAGTGTTTTCAACAGATGGTGCTGGGAAAATTGGCTCTCCACCTGCAGAAGAATGAAACAGGACCCATGCCTGTTACCATGTACAAAAAGAAACGAGATGGATTAAACACCAAAATATAAACCCTAAAACCATAAGAACTATCAATGAAAAAAATAGGGACAAACTAAAGACATAAATGCACTACCAATATAATAAAAACACCCACACTACACAAGACGAGAGGACTAGGATCTTTTCTAGATAAAAATAAGACATTTATGCATTTCAAAAAGACTTGATCAAAAGCAAACCCACAGATTGCAGGACAGATTTTTTTTTTTTTTACTGTATTGGATAAAGGGCTAATCTTGAAAACCTACAGCATCTTTAAACACCTCAAAAAGAAAAATACAAATAAGACAATGATCAGAGAACATGAATAGATAATTGACTAAAGATGACATCCTGGTACCCAACAATCATATGAAGAAATGCTCAAGTCCATTAGCTATCAAAGAAATACAAATTAATGATGAGTGTCACACTGACTGACCCTGATAGCAAAATTTAACAACGATAACAAGTACTGGGGCGGGTAGGGTGTAGAAAGATAGGAACACTCATACCCAGCTGGTGAGATAGCAGAATTGTACAGCCACTCTGGAAAGCAGCATGGTACCTTCTTAATGCAGTTAGATCCTGTGAGCTCTGCTTGGCATATGCCCCAAAGAGATAAAGAATAAAATACAAATAGATTTATGCACTCACTATTTATCATAGCACTATGTACAATGGTAAAATGATGGAAACAGTCAAAAATCCTGTCTGTAGAAAGGACAACTCTGGTACATACATGCAATGCAATATTGCATGCATCTCGGAAAAGGAATAATGAAATGCAAATACCTCCTGACCTGGGCAAATTCAGAAGACACACATGCTCAGCAAAGTTAGTCAATCTCATAAAACCCATAATGCGTGAACAACCCACCACACACACATTTTTTTTTAGCATTAAAAAAAAAACAAACACCAGTAGGGGACAGGGTAGAACTAACACTGAGTTTCTGAGACTGTAACAGTAGCAGTAAACTCCTTCCTTTTCTCTGAGGGTGACTTGCGGTTTTGAATTGCTGAAGTTAGCAGCCCAACCTGTAACCACTATTCCACCAGGGTACACCACTGTTATAAAAGAAAAAAGCTAAGAAAAAATGGTTTTCACACCAAAAGAAACAGACAATGAAGGATACGGGGAGGGGAGGGGTGGGGGGGACAGAGAAGGTGAAGGAGAAAAGGGGGCCACAGACAGGAGGTGCTAACTGGGATACTATCACTGTTCAGAAGAATTTGCCGATGCAAATGTGTTGGCCTGCTTTTCCCTGTTAAACTCTCTATATATGCGTATATTCATCCATGAAAAAAATGAAACGGAAATGGACCGCTGTGGCTTGCTGTTGTGCAGCCCAGAAGTAGGAGACTTAAGCTCACCCATTTCTGGCGAGTTGTGTGGTGGTTAACATCACACTCCACCAGCCAGTATGTCTAATGGACATCTTAGCTTCTCTCCCCTGCACAGATCAGACCGCAGCTATCCACTCAGCCCTTCTGTCTCTCATTCTTAGCTACCCAGGGCTGGATCTGTGGATACCAGCCACAATCTCAGGAGTCTGCATGACTTCCTCCACTTCAGACTAGCTGGCCTCAAACCTGGGGTTCTCCTCTTCTTCCTGCACCACCCTGTTCACCTTGTTCCTTTGGGACTAATAATTGTCTGAAATGTCCCATAGAAAGTGTGCCATATTTTCTAGAGCGATTGCAACCTAAAAGTATGCATATAAAGAAGCCCATCAGGTGAGATCTGGAAGAGGTCACACAGTGAAGCTTTCGTTTCTCAGAGTGATGCACTATCCTCTCCCATGCTTGGTTACCAGCCAGGAAGCTCCTTGAGTAGTCCAAGACCTTTATGGCCTCACTGTGTGTCCATTGTAGATTATATCGTGTCTTCGGAAGTTAGTCAGCATCGGGCTCCCACGAAGGTCCCTCTTGGTCTGAAGCCAAAGAACTGACCAAAAAATTTCAACAGGCAGCTGGAGAAGACAAAAGTAAACTATTATACTAAAATGTGCCAAGACCTAGATCTAGAAAGCAAAAAACGGGGGAACAAAGTCAGCAGATCTTGAACTGGAGGGAAAAAATCACACCTCCAGTTGTGGAATTGGAAGATTCTAAGGACAAGATATTGAATGATGCAGGAAGCCCCAAAAGAAGGTGGAAGTTATTCAGAGTCACCAAATCTCATTCCAAGAAGTAGCATATGAGCAAGAACCAGTGATACTGAAGGAAACAGTCCAAGCTGCATTGAAAGCATCCGCTACAAACAAGGCTCCAAGAATCGATGGAATCCAGCTGATGAAATGTTTGGCTTTGCTGGGGGTAGCTTGCCTTTCTTGAGGAATTGTCCAGATGCCAAAGCTGGTGCTTCGTGTTCTCTCTGCCAGAAGTAAGGGGAAGCTACTCTCTGGCTTGGTCACTGGGGGAGGCCCAGCGTTCCTCCTAGTCTTTACCTCTTATCCTGATTCTGCAGCTAGATTCCTGAAGAGAAGGTTCCTATTGCTGGCACCAGGTTTCTCCTTTAGGCAACATCTGCATCTGGGTGTATTTAGAAGAAAGCCATTTAACTGTTCCTCTCCTGCTTTCTAGGCAAATGACTGTTCTGCTTTATTTGCGTTCGAACCAAATCTAACTAGAGATTCTCTTTGTGAAATAGATGGCTTATTGTCAGCATATTGGAGTGGAGTTTATGTTTATCAATGACCTGGAGCAGTGCCAGTGGATCCGGCAGAAGTTCGAGACTCCTGGAATCATGCAGTTCTCAAATGAGGAGAAACGAACCCTGCTGGCAAGGCTTGTGCGGTCCACCAGGTACCTCTGGTCTCTGGGAGGCTGTACACCTGAGCTGAACTCCCAAATCGGGACCCTCCCAGGAAAAATGTGGTCCTGGAATCGCAAACACTTAATCCTTGCAGCATGGCCTATTGTCCCGTGATGTGGCCTTGATATCCTCCCCTTTTTGGACAGTGGGCTTTGGAGGTGGCATGCAGGTAATGAAGGACAGTCCTTTTCTACCGACTTGTGTTGCTTAGGATCCCTGCGTGGTGCAAACTGGCTCATCTGCTAACAGAAATGTGGGTGCTTCTAGTACCCCTAGAGGTGTCTCAGGAGAAAGTCCTGACCATCTGCTTCTGAGATGGGAGCCACTGAGAACCCTGGGGTGCAGGTTCTCTGACATACCTGGGGCCACTAGCAGTCAGAATGGACTCAGTAGCAACTCATCTGGTTTTTGTTGCTTCAGCAAGTCTGACTTTGGGATTTGGTCCCTTTTAATGCTTTCTTCAAGATTTCTTGGGCTCTCCTTCCAGGTTTGAGGAGTTCCTTCAGCGGAAGTGGTCCTCTGAGAAGCGCTTCGGTTTGGAAGGCTGTGAGGTCTTGATTCCGGCCCTCAAGACCATCATTGACAAGTCGAGTGAGAAGGGTGTTGATTACGTCATTATGGGGATGCCTCACAGGTAACTCTCACGGAGGGCTCGGCCGCAGCCATCGCCCTTTGCCTGATCCTTACCAACTGGACAAGAACTGTCTGCCTCTTTTTCTCCCACCATTGCTGTCATGGAGGGAAAGCTGTCTGGTTTCCTGCCTCAACCCTGTGCAGCCTTTCATGCATTTAAGTCACTGGGTCATGGGGAGTAGCTGAACCCGCAGCCCTTCCGTTTTAAATCCCAGCCTGTCTGATTAAAGGAGGACTCCCAGTCTGGAATGTGAGGATGGGCTGATTTTCCAGGAGTTCTGGCGTCATTGTTGTTTTAGCATGGCCAGTATTCCAGTATTCCAGCTGCAAGTTGCTTTTTCTCAGTTTGGAGAGTCGTCATACTCTAAGCCATCTGTTTATGACAAGTCGTTGTAGCCCTGGATTATATTGCTCTGTAAAATACACAGAAACCACTTTTGTCAGGGCCTGCAGTAGAGGGGGCGTTGTTCGTGCAAAGGAGGCAACAATTTTAGTAAAGGAACCTTGAATACACCTGGAAAGAGACATGCCAAGGTGACAAATCCGAGAGAAATAA